TCAATGCAAAGTCTTTTTTTGTTAGATTTAGTAAGCTCCTTTACAACCACTACCTGGGCTCTTCATGTTGAGAATCATGGCTCTTATGCCATCCGATAATAACTGTAATATTGCATTTTTAATAAAGTTTCGATCATTATTATTATATATTCTTGATTTTGTTGCTTTGTCTAAAATGCTTGTAAACAAGGAAAGTATTTTTATTTTTGCCATATGCAGTGCACATAGGTTATTTTCCTTTATGACAACAAAGTCTTCTTTTTCTCCACCAAGTGGAAATCTGAGTTTCTTTGTGCAATGTCAATAGAACGAGCTTGGTTAAATGTTGATTGCAAATTCAATGCTGAATTTTCAAGAAGTCGTTGACGAATATAATTCGAATTTATTCCATAAATAAAAGCATCTCTTATTTTGTTCCTCTCGATATTGTTCAGCTGAAACATCCTTATAATTACAGTCTATGCTGAGTTTACGTAGTTCCTGAAGAAAGTCTTCTAAAGATTCACTCGCTGTTTAATGTCTTATAAGTAATTGATGGCTTGCAAAAAATTTTATTAGGGGTTTTTATATACAAGTTTTCTAGGGTTTCAATAACACTTTCATAGGAATCACACTCTTTGATGTAATCATAAACATTTGATGAAACAAAATTAATGATGGAACGAAATTTGTCTGGAGCATCCTCTCCACAATCCTCAATGAATTTCTCAAATGTTCGTTTTCAATGCTTCTATTCTTTTGAAGCAGTTGGTGCATTATGATCAAGATCAAGCGTCGTCGGTTTTAAGATCTTTGACATTTCCCAATAATTTTATATGTTGTTAATTAATTGTAATGAACTAATAAAAAGATTGACCTCTTGATTAAGGCTTTATTTAACAACAATCGTGCTAATCTAAAGATACAACAAAATAGATACATATATAAAACAAATAGTTCAATAACAACAATAGAAGACTCAACGGCTAGTTGGTTTTCTATTTAACAAATCATTTTTTTTAATTCATTTTTATTCAGATATTTTAGTCCTGGAGATAGCAAATAAATTGTCTAAAATTTTTGAAAAATGAATTTTATATCTGATGCTGCAGTTTCCATTTGAATATTGAACGCTAATTCACATCAAGAGTTGTTTATATGTGGCTGTGAACTGTTGGCAATTGATATTGTTTTTAAATATTCTTGCAGATCTCACAGCTAAATAAGATCTCACAGCACAATAAAGTTAGATGGTTCTGACTGAGCTTATATGTTAATAATTTTATGGCGAACCTTCTTTTTCTACTCAGTTGAGATATATGTTTTAATTGCTACCAAATATTCAATTAAACCAGTTGTTAGACTAGATAAGTTCATTTGCGTAACAGTTATTCTCTTTAGGACTAATGATATAATTATATGCCACATCAAGAAATGGAAAGCGAAGAGCCTTGCTGCATGCGCATGATGCTGACTTGTATCCTTTGGTTAATAGGTTTTGTGAATTTAATATGTGAATTTAATATGTGAATCTTTTATGCGAATAAACTCAACGACATTTATATAATTATTTAACTCCAACATACAGTTTAATAATACAAAAAAAATCAGCGTTTATAACAACTATAACATATAACCATAATACTTAACAACAGGTAAACAGCATATATAACTTTAGTTAAGGAGATATTTCAAAGAGGTGTTTTGGATATTTTTATATTAAAGATTAATAAATACATTTTTTTCAAACAAATATTTGTTTAAGGATGCATATAACAAATGTTACATACACCCTTGATTCTATTGAGTGATTTTGTATTAAATTATTAGAAATGATTATTTACTTTTTATTTGTTTTAAAAGTTGATATAAATAACTATAATTCAGACCTGTTTTTATTTTTTTACCATTATAATTGACACTTTAGAAGTGATAGAACTTTAGAAGTTTGATAAAGCCATATAAAATATATATTGGTTTCAATTTTGGCTTCAACTTTTTTCGGAAAAAAACAATAGAACCCGCTATCCAATTATATTTTGAGATCAGTGCAGCCTGACATTGCATTTTGTTTTATCTCCTTAATCCTGTTTATGAATTAAAATTATAATATGCTTTCTTCGTTTTATCCAATCAAAAGTTATTTACGCCAAAACGGTAGAAGACGTTTTACAGAAAAATTTTTAGAGTTAGATAATTTTTTTTTTCTTTTTATGGATAAAATATTTATTTTTTTCAAATAAATCAGTAAAAAAAAAAGATTTCTGATATGAAAGAAGCAATTATTAATTAATAAAATTTTACCAAGTAATTTTATTTCGTTAAAACTGTATATAATTTAAACAGATACTTTTTTTTATAAGCATTATAATTATTATTTTTTTTTATAAGTATTTTTAACTATACAATTTTAAAATCTTTATAAAAATTTTAAAATTGTATAGTTTCATATTGTTTATATCTCTTCATATTCTAGAGTTATTCACCTGACCCTTCGAGAACCGTTTTAATTCAAAAGATTTTCTCCTCTTACCTAATTAATAAGGCTGTTTGATTTCTTGCTGTGTACGACAAGGAGAAAAAAATGTATTTGATAATAGAAGTTATTACGTAAGGCTAAATATGAACTAGTGTTGTTATTAAGCCGGGTGAATAAAAAGAAAGCAATTGCTTTAACTCAGTAGTTAGTCGGCTTTACAAGAATAAAAACTTCAACAACTTTTCTTCAACTTTTACTCGTGTAAAACTGAAAAATTACTCAGCGTTATTGGAGCAAATTGCTTAGCATTGCGTGAATAAAAATTTTAAGAGTATGCTAAAATAATTGCTCACGCAAAGCTGAATAATTACTTCAAAAACGATGAGTAAAAGCAATTGGTTTTTTTTTTATTCACCCGGCCTATTAGATTCTACTAAGTTGACTAAAAATCGACTAGATATTAGTCGACTTTGAAAAATTAAACTGTTGATTCAATCGACTATGGATTTTCTACTAATCGACTAAAAGTCGATTTAGTAGAGTAATTATTTTAAAATCTTTATATCTTTTTAGTAAATTTAATTTTTTCAATTTTTAGTTTTTGTTTGTTCATTTAATAACAATGCTATTATACTGTTTTTTACATACTGTTTTTTGTGTACTCTTATTAAATTTTATAAAACTCATAGCATGTTAACAATATTTATACCTAATTAAACTTTCGGTTATGTATTTTATTAATTTTTACGTGGGTGGGTGTTTAAAAAATAGCCCTTTTTAGCGTTTCGTAATTATATATTGACCCCTACCAAAAGTAATACATTTTTTGGTTTAATTTGATTGATTGAAACAATTGACCTTTTAAATATTTGCAATTGAGATAAATTTACATAAAGACTATTCAAGAGATGATTGAATAAACTACTTGATAAATCTAATAAACCTTGGAGCACTTAAATAACTGAAACAAAAAAAAAAAAACAACTAACATTTTACAATGTAATTTGGTATCTCAAAAAAAAATTATCTGTAAAAAAACTTTATTGTTTATATTTGCAATCAAAACTACAACTTTTGTTTTTTAATCATTATATTTTCCATTGCATCTTCAAAAGATAAAATAAAATGAAAAGAATATATGGCATCTTTTTGCTCTTTTTTTTCATTAAAACTATTGTCCTTAAACTTAAATGATTGATAAATCATTTAAGTTTAAGGACCGTTTTCATTTCTGTAATAATACTCAAAATAATTTTATCCTAATTAAACATTTTATTTTTTTTATCTTGCTAACAAATCGAACTGATGAAGAAAATAATTATTATGCAGAATTTGAATACACGGGCACAAAATACTTTTTGCAGAAAATCACAAGTCTAAATATGATTAAGAAAAAATGTTGAAAGCTGTAGGTTTTACTTGACAGTATTTTTTATACATTTAATAGCTTTAGCACATTGCACTGAAAACGTTACTGAAAAAATTCGGTTTTATTAGGAAATGAGTTAGCAAAGAAACGCCAAGTTTTAATCATTTTAATGTCTTTTATTTTATTAATCATTTATTAGTAGGTATGTTTCAAATTATTACTTTTATATAAGGTATAACATTATTTTGTCGGTATATAAAGGAAATGCACTTGTCCATCTTTGGCAGTATAGAGTTATTTATACCACTATTTAGTATTTTAAATTCTCTATCGTATAATATACCACACAAATTTAAGAAATCAATTATTAATAAGTTATTAGGATTTTTTATTTCAACTATTACAAAAAAACGTATTGTTTTAATTATTACGCTAAAACTTTCTTGTTCATTATTTCAAAATGAAGTTTTTGGACTTTTTTGCAGTTCCCTTGTATACCGAAGATTTATTCTTTGATAGACAGGTGTCACAGCTTTTCTACTCATTCGGTAAAAACAAATATCCTTATGAATATAACTAAAAGCAAATAAACAATGTCTAAAATAAATTTAACGCAAATTTTGATTTACCCAAGATAAAAAGTTCCTTTGGATTACATTTTAACTTTGATAGAAGTTTTTAAAGCGTGCTGTTTACAGAAATTTTATTAGAATTCCTATAATATCATATTGTTTGGAAATTAATATCTTGCCCTGGGTAGAAATCATATAATCTTACTTTAGACAATAGTTATAAGACAACAAACCAGTATTTAAAAGATTATATAAAGTGCTATCTATAAACAAAATTTCAAAATATTTACATTAAACAACGTTATTAAACTTAACTGCCTACATACATACATACATACATACATACATACATACATACATACATACATACATACATACATACATACATACATACATACATACATACATACATACATACATACATACATACATACATACATACATACATACATTAGATGCGGTTTTGGGTCATGAAAACGCCACAAATAACATAAATTAGAGTATTAAACGCAGGCAAAATTTTAAAATTTTCAAGTGTTTTTTGATTATATTCAGAACAATTACTTACTTTTAAAAGTGTTTATAACTAAAAAAAACTGTATTTGGGCTATAGAAGAAATCCTATTATATAAAAAAACATATTTTGTTTGTGTTTATGTCTCTTTATCTGAAAAAGATTTAGCTTCTTCGCCACCTCGAGGATGAGCTAGTATATACGTCCCTGAAGGTATATTCTCAACATATGTGTAACTACCTAATAAGTTTATAATTTTAGCCCAATACTTAAGCAACATCAGTATTGCTAAATTTGAAAGACATATGCAACCATATACAAGAAAAGTGGAGTGGGAGCCTATGTAACTGACCAATACTCCTCCTAGTATCCCTCCTCCCCCATGTCCTAAACCCCAGTAAACACCATGAAGTAAAGCTTGCAGCGTTACTGGGGTACCAGGAATTAATCCAATGTAACAAACTGATGCTGTCCAAATTGATGCAGAAGATACTCCTTGTAATATTTCAAGAGGAATTGAATATAACGGTTGGTTTGTAAAAGAGTACGCAAATAATCGGATAACATTAGCAGCTATACCAATGTAAAAAAGATTATCGCAACCTATATTTAACATTATATATCCAGAAACTAAGTACATAAGAACCTCAGACGTGCACTGAACGGCAGAAATAACACTAAACAATAATTGCGTTCCTCCAATATCATGTAAGTGCCAAAACAAAAAGGTATGAATAAATCCTAAAGCGGCTCCCGATAATAAAAGAGTTATAACAAAGCAAGCATGTTGCACATCACTAAACAATTTAATTGCTTCCCAAAGTGATTCTGTATAAGGTGCACGCTCTTCAAGTAGTTTAAATTTAAAAAAAAAAGCTGTTATAAAAGCTAATCCCATCATAGAAGCATAGACGTAAAATGATAAGATATAATCAACGTGACGTCCTTGAGCGCAAAATATGTTTTGTACACCACTCACAACGGCACCAACAACAAATGCACTAAGACCCCAACCAAACGCTCCCCACAGTCTTTGAAATCCATAAAGATAAGTTTCTTCGCCTAAAAAGGAATTGTATTAACTTTGTTTTTAATTGGTTATTGATTGACATTTAATAATATATTCCAGCTTTTGCTTTTTTGTATAAACTTTTATTATAAATTTGTAAAAAATCAACAATAAACTAAAACATCAATAACAATAACAAATAGTTTACAAGAAAAAGAAATAACATTTGAATGTTTTTTTTATGATCATGTTTTATAAGTTCTAACCCTTGCATTAATTTGCTCATCCCCTCACTTCCCTCCCTCTCCTCCCAAAAAAAAAAATAACATTTAGTTTCTTAACTATGCTGTTAAATAAGTAAAGAATATTACTCTCAAGTCGAGGTGAAACAAGTAAACACTACCGGGAACATGGTTGCACACACACAAAATATTTTAAATTTGTTGCTTAAATTGTTGTAGCTTAAATATTTAGAAATTTTAGGTCTATAAACAACTTGTAAAATAATCAATTTTAACAATATTTATGCGATTGAAGTAAGTAAATTTTATTTTGCATTTTTTAAAAATTTAAAAGTTTTTTTCTAGTTTTATTTCTTAGTATCTTGCCTATTTATAGTTAATTAAAAAGCCTCTTTTTTGTGCAGATAATATCATATCACAAGGTATTATTTTAATCACAGGTAAAGTCATATCACAAGAATTATTTTAAATGCATTTTAATAAAAATTTCATGAAAATACATAATAAAATATTTAATTATAAAGAAGCATTTAATAATAAGTTTATTCGCTTTTACGCTTTCAAAGCTACAGTCTCTTGCAAAAGTTTAGAATCAGTTTAGTTTTTTTTAGGTAAATCAAATACGCAAATGACATACACAAAGCTAAGATTTAATTTATGCTATATGCATACATGTGTATGTATGTTTATGTTAAAATGATTTACCTAAAAAATACCAAACTGATTCTAAACTTTTGCAAGAGACTCTATAACGAATAAATTTGAATGAATTAGTTATTAATTATTGTTATTATAATTCATTAATTATAATTTATTAATAATAATATTTATATTATTAATTCATTAAATAATATTAATTATTAATATTATTTATCTTAATTATACAATATTATATATAATATTGGATGTATATTAATATTATTTATGGTAATATTATTTAGTTCATTAACCATTATCTCTAGACATAATTGTCTATGCATAATTATCGGAGGTTATCTTTAGATTTGCATAACTATCAGAGGTTATTTCTAGATTTGCATAATTATCAGAGGTTATCTCTAGATTTGCAACAGTAACATAATATCGAAAAGCCAGTGTAATATTTGGGGTTTAGTTAGTTTGAATATCAAATGAAATATAAGAGTGAAGCATTTCAAAGTCGATTAAAAAAAGAAAGTTTATTGCGTGAAGTTGAAGGTGTTAAGAATCCAAACTTTATTTTGCGTAATTATAAACATGACTTCTAAAGTAAATCATGTTGTAAAATGTTTTTTTTGCCTCATATATCTAAACAAATAACCTTTAAATACATCGCTTGCTTATATATTTTCAGAAGAAGTTTAATAATAGCAAAAAATGTAAATGAAAATGGTTCGTCTTCACTTAACTATTTTTTTACTACGTATGTGAAATATGGAGAAGTGGAAAAAAGCTGATAAACTTATTTGTTGCAACAAAAACAGTAAACGAAATATTAAACGTATATGCAAAGTGGATAATTGCAAATTGAATACAACTCATAAAAATAATCTTTTTATTCATGAGTATATTTCAAGTTAAATTTGTGACAAGATTAAATATTGGGCGTTGGCTCAAAAGAGATCTTTAAGATGACAAGTTATTCCTTTTTTAATTAGATCGTTAAATAATGGAAATAATTAAAGCATGCTAGAACTCAGTTTGATTTAGTTTGAAAAAGACTTTTTTTTTTTATTTCATTATCATGTAAAAATTTTTTGTTTTCTATATATTGAAAGCCATGAAAATAAATCCTTGATTGCTTACAATAAAGATGTATAACAATAATGAACTTTTATGTTCTCTGCGCTGGATATTCAAAGTATTTTCAGGAAAATGTTGTGTCAGCGAATACATCAGTTTTATCAATTATTTCTTTTTATTTCTGTAAATTTTTCAGTATATTTAAAAGTTTTTTTTTTTTCTTTGACAGGTTATTTTGAGGCTTATTCAGCAGTGGAGGTCCGGCTTTCACCCGGTTGTCTTTTCAGGGCATGAATCTAAAATAACTTAATTTTATACTATTATTGTATATAAATAACTTAATTTTTTTTTATAAATTGTGTTTTGGTGATAATTACCTAGATTTTCCAGAGTTGCTGTGTCAGCTAGAGTTGCAGCAGGTGATGCTAGCAAGGTTCCAATTAAAGTTATCACAATTAAAACAATAAAAATTTTCATAGAATCTCTCTTGACCGCGTCTTCTTCTTTTTTATTGGGCTTTTTTTCAATACTATCTGCAAAAATATATAAAAAATATATATGTTCTAATGTTTTCTATGGCATTAGCAATTTGTAACATTTGACACAAATAAAAAGGTAACTACGTTACCTAAAGGCCATGGGTACTCTTCATCCGTATTTAATGAGTCAAATTCACCTTCAAGTTCATCAGCTGCTATTATTCGGTGACGTTCGTTATCTTGACTCTCAGTCGAATTAAAATCATCTAGCGAGTTTCTAATTTTTCGTGTAACAACCATTTTTTCAAGTAAATTTCTAAATATTTTTGCTAATTCAAAACCTTCATTTGATTTTCTTTTTTCTCTTTCACTTTTGTAAGTTATATTTTCAACTTCTTTTAAGATTTCTTTTCTGGTTGAGTTTTTTTTTTCATAAATGTAATTTAGTGACGTATTTTTAGGAGCCAAAAGATTATCCGGAGGAAACTTATTTGCTTTTACTAACTTGTTCACTTCTTTAGGAATAAATAATGTGCTGTTAATATTGCAAGCAATTTCTAATGGAGTTCTTACAATTGATATGCTGTAATTTGTGATCAACCAAGATGCTATTGACATTAATAAAATATATTTTTTGACGTCATAAGTGTCTGCTAGAGCTCCCCATAATGGAACAGCACACATTTGTATAAAAGGACGAACTCCAATTAAAAAACCAACCTGTTTAGCAGATAAGTATAATTGTTTGTAAAACACGGCTAAGTAAGGAAAGAGTGATCCAATAGCGCCGTAAAAAAGAAAATAAAAAACCTTATAAAGTAATAAATTTGTGTTTATTTGTAAGCATTTACACGTTTCTTTGTTAATTTCCTTGCTTTCTTCGTCAATAGAACGCTCCCATTCAACTTTATCGTCGTTTGAAGTATAGAACCTTTCGTCAGATAAAGAGCGAGGAAGTCTTTCTCGACTTACTCGTGATTCGGCGTTTTTTATTTCATCTGCTTCATGAGGTATAGGCGAAATAAGAGGAGAGCAAATGCCATGAGGAACATATAAAGCACTGTTTGTTGACATGCTGTATTATATATTTATATATTGATTTTTGTGTATTTATCTAGTTGAAATGTTGATAAAACAACTTTTACGAGTCGCTTGATGCAAAAAAAAAAAGTTTAACCTGAGTTGTCTAAAAAATAAATAATGAAACTAATTCCAACACTTGAAACTTTTATTTTATTTCTTTTATAAAAAAAAAAATTGTTCACTTTTGCTATTCGCTATCTGAAAGCATTAAAATCAAGGCCGTAACGCCACTTATTCGGTATATGCGATACCCACTTTATCATATTTTTTTTACTTAAAATTATGCGGCGAGTATTGACAAATTGCTAAAAATGATCTTTTGAGAGTTTATTTTTAAAGATCATCTAAATTTTTTGATTTAAATTTTTAATTTAAACAAAACATCCGTAGCCGAACGATTTGCAGAAGCGTTTTATTCTAACTTTTTATTGTAAATTTTTTAAAATAATATCAATAAACAGTTTTCAGTAAAAATAAATTCTAGTTATAAAAACAACAGAAATAAGATTTAAATACTTCTTCAGTCTAATTTTTATTTGTAGCTATGTGGCTGGTCAAAATTGTGTACCTTGCAATTTTGAATTAATCTTTTAGTTGGTAATATAATCTGATTATTTAGCTAATATTGGTTTAATCTTTTAATTTGGTTTTAAGTATTCGTTGAATTAATTTAATTATTAACTTAATTAGCTTTAAAATCAGAATTTAAAATTTTTCAGAATTGTGTTTGAATTGTTATGGCACATCTTTTAAACGCTTTCCATCGATTTTTATTTGTAAAGGACCTCGATTGTAAAATCTTTTATCAAACTAATTGATTGGTATCAGCTATTTTCTTACAGCGCTTTTGTAACACTGAATTTAAAATAACAAGCTTATTCGTCTAAAGCGTTTTATTTCAACCTTCATCTTTTGCTATTCAGTCCTACATTTTTGTCGAATACTGTAACCAGACTTTACAACCATTTATTCTTGATGCTTTAAATATTAAAAAAAAATTCGCAAGTGATTTGTATATTTTAAATAGCAAATGGTAAACCATCACAATGAGTGCTCTCTCAATAAACATAGATATTTATATATACATAGATATATAGTTTTTTTTTTCACACTTTAAATTTCTAAAACTGCAGACTTTCGCTGGTAGTTCTGTATTTACCGATAGTTTTCTCTTTATCTTGTAACATTTTGCATTTGCCAAACTCCTGGGTGCATGTTTGAAAAGCTTATATTGTTTTCAGACATGGCAGCAAAATAAAGAAAATGTAAATTAAAACAAAAACTTTAATATAGATAGATATCTATATAAAAGTTAAATGTAGAAGATATTTAAGCTTTTAATAAAATTATGGTCTTCTTAAAATAAACGGCCATACATTCTGCATTTTCGCCGAAAATATAGAAGGTCATTTATATTTAGTTATTTAGTCAAATTACACGAAACGGGCGTGTTCTGTAAGCCAATCAACAGCTAGCCGGGCCAGCTCGTGCATGATTACATGGAAGATGATGCTCTGTAGTAATTATGGTGATAGCTGATCAAAATTTTTCGCTGAAGCATTTGACACTAATAGCACTTGTTTGACTGTGTATAGACATTTCTCTAATTCGATTGCGCAACAAATTTCTCAGCTTGAAAAGGAGGCCAATAAGGACAAAAATGTAAACAAACTAAATTCATAGTTTCGCTCCTAAATAAAAATGTCTAAAATTACGCCTTGCCTCATGTACTGTTCGGTTGATTCCTTTTTTTGTAAAGTTAGCATGAAGTACGTTTTTCATTACAGGATATACTTTTTTCTCTTTCTCACCAGGCACTCCCCACTTTCTTAAAGAACTTGTGCAAGCGATTTCAGAAGGAACAACTTTAAAGGAATTTAAAGAGTATTCTGCTAACCCCAACAGTAAAGCCATTATGTGATTACAATAACCACTCAAACCAGCAGGGCAACTGCAAGAAGCCTTATCAACTTGACTACTTTTGCGATTTATGTAAATTTGCATTTTTCTAATCATTTTTTTCATGCTTGCTCGACATGCACATTTGACAATGAAGCATTTTAGTGTTCGTGCTGTGAATAAACTGTCAACATAAATATAACGTTCTTGTTTAAATTGTAGTCCTCTTTCTAAAGTTTTTTTAGTAGTCTTTTTTTTTATTTTACCACATTTGCTCATATGGTTATCAATTTCGCGTTTGGTAAACACTCGTAGAAACTCCAGAGATTTTCCCCAGCACTTATTTTCTTTTAAAGATGCATCTTTCTTCGATTTTAACTCTATTTCCAAATCACTATTTATATCTTGCAATATCAAATATTAATTCTATTCATAATTTTTTAGATAGATAAATAAAAGAATGAGTTTTATTTAAGCAATTTGTCGCTACTTGTTTACATTTTTGTCCTTACTGGCCTCGTTTTCATGTTGCAAAAATAGTTGCGCAATCAAATTAGAGAAATGTCTATTGGCCAATACAAATATAACGTTGATAACAATATTAGTTTTATCGTATTTATATTAATAAAAACTTTAATAACGACGTGAAAAATAGTCAGTAAAATTATATTATTTTTAAATTTTTTTGTTCTTATTTATTTAAATTTTCATGCTATATTTTTCTATACAATTTTCTTATATCTGAAGATATTGTTGGCTTAGCATAGGAACAGCCACAAGTAGTTATTCAGGCTAATCCAAAGAAGCGTCCCGTTATTGACCAAGATTTTTGCGTCCCGAGGTACTAATCAAGCTCTGAGTTGGTTGTGGCAGGATTTAAACTCGTATCGTTCAATAGTCCGGAATTTAACTTTTCATTTGACGCTCCAACCAACTGAGCTACCTAGCCACATATTGGTCCAACGATAAACAATAAAAACATTGCAAAAGAAGAAAAAAAGTTGTTTTTTCGATCTAAACGCAATGTTGATCCAATCTGTAGGGATTAACGTTGATCAAATGTATAGTGATCAATATTGATCCAATGTATATGTATCAACGTTGATTAAATGTGTATAACCTCACACTGATCCAATGTATATGGATTAACGTAGATCCAATGTTTATAACCCAACGTTAATCCAATGTGTATGGCTTAACGTAGGATTACATACATTGGATCAACATTTTTTTTTTTTAGTGTTAATTTAGGTGCCCCTAGAAGTCCTTACGGTCTTATCACAGAGCACCGCGGAAGAGCATTTAATAGGAAGTTCACGCCTCCTTCCCAACCGATGTCGCAAAACTTGCCCAGAGGTGGGGTTTGAACCACGGATCTTACGTTTCTGCGTCAAGTGCGCTACCACTGCGCCACGGCTGCTTAACGTTGATCCGTATTCATTGGAATAACGTTGGATTATATACAGTGAATCAACGTTGTGTTTGCATCGAGAAAAGACAGATATACAAATATACATTTGTATGGTTTATAAGAACAATTTTTCATCCCAATATTTCAATTGATTATGGAAATATATTTTGCTAATATATTTTTTTAATGAAATATCAAGCCACAATCAAAACAAACACGAATAATGCGTTTTTAATTAGATGCGTACTCATAAGTTATGATAAGTTTATACGTCTTATGCAAAGTCGATTTATCATAATGGGTGAATTATATATGTATAAGCACATATATAATTCATATATAATATGCATAAGTACATATAAAATATGTATAAGTAACATATATAATATGTATATATTTAGTATGTATAAGTACATATATACATATATAATATGTATAATATAATACATATATAATATGTATATATATAATATGTATAAGTACATATATAATATGTATAAGTAACATATATAATATGTATAAGTACATATATAATTATATATGTATAAGTACATATATAAAAAGTATATTATGCATTATATATGTATAATGTAATAATGTATAATGTATAAAACAAATAAAATAAAACAATGTAAAATGTATAAATAAATTATATATATAAGTACATATATACAATTATATATGCGTGGAAATATATAATATTTAATGTATATATCTATACCAAAATATAAAACAAATAAATTTAATTCCGATAAAAGTTATATTAACGTTGTGCAAACGTTAAATATAACGTTGAATCAATTTAAAATACAACGTAAAAGCTTTAATCCAATCGAGAATTTGACTTTTATTTTATATATTTACGTTTATATTTTACATACGTTTATATTTATATTCACAAAAACATCTAAATTGGATTTATAAACAAGCTTTAATAAAAACTTGTAAAATAAAAACTGCAATTCAAATTGCATAAAACTAAACCCTGATAAAACAGAGTTCCTCCTGACAGGTAAAAGACAGTTACAAAGCTGCACAATATCTCTCGATGGTAATTGAATAAATTTACACAATAGACTCAAACATTTGGGGTTTGCATGGGGATACAGAGCACTCTTTATTTGCCTCAATTGATTGAGTTAACATTTGCTGAAAAATATCTAATTTTTGCGCAGCTGTCCAAACTCTTGTTCAATCTGGAATCCATTTTTATTTTTGGAATCACACAATTATCAAACCTTGGTAGTACCAACATTAACTTACGGTCTGAAACTTTGTAAAATGAATGACGTAACGATGCAAAGCCTAGACAAAATCGGAAAGAGCGCATTAAAATTGCTTTTCAACCTTTCAAAATATTTGCAAAAAACTATTTACATTCGTTATTTAAAATTCAAGACATATTAATATACATTTACCAGAGTAAACTGAACTTATTTGTTCGTCTTTTGGATAACAAATCGACGAATGATATTATTGAATCTCAGCAACAATCACACGGTAAAACAATCTTTTCTAGATGGTGTCCAGCAGGTGTGCCGTATTAGTAGACTAAGTTTTGAAAAGTTAAGGAATGAAAAAAGTAGCATATGTTTTGTGGTGGTGGGGGATAAAATCCCGAAAGACATTGAGAAAACATTGAAATACTCATTGGATTCGTGGAACGTAAAAGAACAGAGAAACAACTTCGAGCAAACTCTAAAAGAAAACATTCCAAAATGATTTCTATTCTTCCTTTCCAACTCTAAGCAATTTTTTATTTTTACCTTGTAAAAATATTTAGAGTAGGGTTGTTCAGAAAAATAATAACAATATAAATATAACAAAAAATATAACAATATAACATATAATTTGTTTACTTTAATTGCAGTTC